TCATTTGTATTCAGAGTGCCCTTTTGGCATTTCAACCTACGTGTATACAAAGTTCATATTTTGAATATACTAAACATGTATAGGATATGTAGCAGAACCCCTGAAGTAGAAAGCATACATACATGTACAGTGTAGAGATTCAGCCTCTTTACATGTTTTGTGTTTCTCTACATTTTTCATATTATTACACCCCTAAATTGTGTCCTGTAGTAAAACTTTTGCGACAATCATTCCACATTTCATGGTTTGGCTCAATAACTTTGGATTCAGAGCCCCAAAAATATAAATCAGAAACATGAGCAGAAAGGGCAAAAATGTCTGCACACACAGCATCCATTTTGTTTCATGACTATAAAAAGGAAAATAACCTTTACAATCCTTAATTTGGCAACACGTTTTGATATTCAAAGTCATTGTTTTTCTATCGAAAATGGACATTTTAAAAGCTTTTCGACTACATTCTTACCCATGTATATTGTTTACAGAGATATTATATATTGTTTGAACACTTTGAATGACACAATAAAAGAAAAATATCATTGTTGCCAATTTGAAGATCAGTATTTAGCCCTTGATATAAATCCTGTCCTGAAAGGGTTAACATTTTGAGGTCTCTGGGCCAGTCTTCATCAGCTCGAGATTGCCAAATATTCTGCTATTTGAACTATCCCGATCGCAAATTCAGTTAAGTTGCGTCTTCATCAGGCCGAAGTTGCAATTAGTAAGATATGTGGTCGAGATAATCATCCCAAGAAATCTTGGGCTAGCTTGCCAAATATCCTGCTATTTGTCCGGTGCGTCTTCACCAGCCCGAAGACTCGCACTATGCACGAGCGCTGAGCAAAATATCTCGAGCTAATTTCTCGAGCTTGAGTTTCAAGTTTCGAGGTCAAGTCTCGAGCTGATGAAAATGTGATTTGTAACTTCAGGATTATTTCCCAAATCAGAAATAGCGGGCTATTTGGCAATCTCGAGCTGATGAAGACGTGCCTTCTGTGAACTGTAAGTAATAAGACTAGGGGCAGACAGTACCAGTTGCCTCACAAGTGTATTTTGCGCTCTCCTAGCCGTGCTCACTAATGCATAAATCAGATGCCTTGATCATGTATGCACGCCAGCGATCCTGAGATATATGTATGTCACGATGTGCAGGCCAGTGAAAACAATATGCATTAGGCATCTCATAATTAAATCAAAGAATATCGGTTCCCTATGGTAGCCATAGTTATGGTGAATTCAAGCTCTATATTGTCAGCTTTCTAAAGCAGGTTAAAGATGAAGTTGAGTTCTGGTCATGCGATTGCATTGTGAAAGAAACGGTGTGGAACCGACCAGAAAAGGTTGATCATCTAGCATATAAGAATTTGTGTGTATTGCAAGGTTCTGGAATCATCAAAATGATAAGAAATTTGGCCAAGTCTTGGTAAAGTTACAAAAACTTGCACAGAAAGATGTATATGGGACTACATGAACACGTGGCGTAAAAGGCCGCCCCCCCCCCCCCCCCCCCGATTTTTACGATGTTACATGCATATTTAGAATATGAAGGCATTTGAAGAGCCATGATTTTCAGGGAACATGTCTTAACTGATGTTCTTCCACACTTGCATAATAAGAATGAGTAATGCTCACAAATTTTTTTCACCTCTTCCCAGAACTCAACCTTCTCTTTAAAGGAGCATACAATGTACTTGTACAATTTCATCCTGTACTTAAAAGTTGAAAATACTCATCTTGACTTCATTACTCATATTCATAGAGAACATTGTTGCATACAAATACATTTTCTCTCTCCCTCCCTTCCTCTCTTAAAGAGAAGGTTGAGTTTGAGAGGTGAAAATAATTTGTGAGCGTTTTTGTTGTTATTATGCAAGTGTGGAAGAACATTAGAGGAAAATTATTCTCTGAAATGCATGGCTCATCAAATGCCTTCATATTCTAAATAGAAAACAAAAACAAAAAGAAAAATAAATAAAAATAAACTCCAAATGTCTATAGAAGTTGTGTCCCCTGGAAGAACACTATTGGGGCTGAATAATTGAGGTCTTTGGGGAGCTATTTCAGTGTTAACGGGGGCAAGTATCCACTGCCAGTTCCTCTACATTTATCTTCATTTTTGAGCTTCACCATACATCCCCACACAGACACATAAATCAGTTGCTTCAATCATTTATGAGCCACCAGCGCTCGAGCGTCGGCTATGTGTCACGATGTGCAACCAAGTGAAAAAGAATACATCATGGCATCTAATGGTAAAATCAGGCTCGCTTTAGCAAACTGGCTGTTAGCTTTCTATTAAAGTTACAAAGTAATGAAGTATATGTAGAGAATGCATTTTAAATCATCCAAACCTTCTTCTTTTTTTATAAATCATGATGTGGTAACTAGGACTCCTGTTACAGCACTCAGTCAAATGCACATCAATACAGGATCATGTACACAGGGTTTCCAACGACTTGTGAAAACAAAGTCCATCATTTTTCTCTGATTTTTCCCAAGTGAAGTTTTACGAAATTCATAGATGATTAAAGAAGGCATTTTGCACATTGAAAGCCACCATACCCAATTATCCAGTGGATATTGTTTTGACATGAGACAAATTACGACAGAAACTGACTGCTTGGTGACTGTTTTTCCCCGACTAAAAAAAAAGGGAGCTCTGGGTACATGTACATGTATTCAAATAGCTTGAAACCATGTGTACAAAACCAATGTTTTGACTTCAAATTAATTACTTTAATGTTTTTCTAGCTGTAACTTGGCAAATGAGAACCCGTAACAGGAAAAATCATCACATCGATGAAATGTATTCTAAACTAAAGCAAAACAGTACCTAATACCAGAAGAAGTAGATTTAGGACTGATAACATGAAGTTTGCCCAAACAATGTAGAACCTACATACATGAACAAATACAGAGTATTTGAATGAACTATCAGCAAATATATTTTTTTTTAAGTGGACCTCTAATAAAATGTTTATACTGTACATGTATTTTTAACAGTAAGAGAACAACTGTGATATGCAGTGTATGATACAATGTACATGTAATCTAATAAATCTAATCTAATAAATAATATAAGCAGCTTTTGGCAAAAGAATGTTTGGGCATTTGATGCAGTTTGTGCTCAAATCATAATACTGTACATATATTAAAAAAAATATCTAAATAACTTAATTTCAAAGAACAAAAACGTCACATGGGTAAAATTTGCAAGCATAAAAACACAACCAATTTTGTTAATGAAATATTAATTCAGCTTACATGTATGTTCAATAACATGTTGCATTTGAAACCCTAAAATTACATTTGATCGCATGTGCCACAATAAATCAAAATCATACAGTTTTTTAAGGGTACTTAAGCGTACTACCCTTCACATACATGTACATCTTATAACACACAGATAAGTGGGTACATATGTACAGGACCATTGGTGTGCACAGCGAGATATCTCATTCCCACTAGCCATTCATTCAATACACAACACACACTGTCATGGTCCAATATAAACAGGGGCATACTGTATGTGAACGAGCCTTTACTCAGGCTGCTATCTACATGTACATAGCAAATGCATGATAAATCAAGTCATATTTAGTGGGTTAATGTTTGTGATAAATTGTGTATTCCCTGAATGATTGAACGATGCATGCTCTGGTGACACCAGTTTTGCAGCCAAATCTACACACTAAACCTGATTCTTGATTTCAAATCTGGACTAAAATCCATTCCTAACCTTAAACCCTAACCCAAACCCAAACCCGAAACATGACCATAAGCCCAGACATTTATCTCTGATGAGACAAGGCCTGAAGTGATTGTTGTCAGAGCTGGGGGGCGTTTCACAAAACTTGTCATCAGTGACAAATGACAGTTTTTGTTATAAGCTACTGAAATACTTGCTTCTGATTGGTTATCAACAGATTTGTCACTGTTTTTTGTCATTTGTCATTGAAACTAGATGGAATTCGACTGCGCGCAGTCGAAAATGATGCCTCCGTCATAGAGCAATTTTACAAACCAAAACAGAAGAAATTTTTCGAATTCAAGTTCAATTGTAATCCATTGACAGGTTCTCAGAAAATCGTGATTACAAGCAATTTCTCATATACATATATGACCCTTTGATCTTTGACCTCATGACCCTAAAATCTACTCAGTTCATTGGCTCTGCAAGATGTCCTGAGTTAAATAGTAATCCATCTGTCAGTTCTAATGAGAATGCGTTCACAAGCTATTTTTGCATACATAATGAGCCCATGACCTTTGACCTTTGACCTTATGAACCAAGAATCTACTCAGTTCATTGGCTCTGCAAGTAACATACATGACCTAATTTTGGCAGGAATCCATCAATCGCTTCTTGAGATAACGCGGTCACGAGCTGTTTTTGCATACATAATGTGCGCTTTGGCCTTTGACCTTTGACCTCATGACCCCTAAATCTAATCAGTTCATCGGCTCTGCAAGTAACATACATGACCTAAGTTTGGCAGCAATCCATCAATCGATTCTTGAGATAACGCGATCACGAGCTGTTTTCGCATACATAATGAGCCCTGTGACCTTTGACCTTTAACCTCGTGACCCCAAAATCTAATCAGTTCATTGGCTTTGCAAGAGACATACATGACCAAAGTTTGGCAGGAATCCATCAATCGGTTCTTCAGATAACGCGATCACGAGCTGTTTTTGCATACCTAATGAGCCCTGTGACCTTTGACCTTTGACCTCGTGACCCCAAAATCTAATCAGTTCATCGGCTCTGCAAGATACATACATTACCAAAGTTTGGCAGGAATCCATCAATCGGTTCTTTAGATAACGCGATCACAAGAACGGGACGTACGTACAGACGTACGTACAGACGTACGGACGGACGGACGGACGGACGGACGGACGGACAACCCGAAAACATAATGCCTCCGGCTACTTCGTAACGGAGGCATAAAAAGGCTTTGTGAAAGGCTTTGTGAAAAGGCTTTGTGAAAGTAGCAGCATCCGTTGAACAATCTGTAGCACGGATGCAGAAGCAAGTCAAGCATGCTTAGGCCACACTGACTCTGTGGTCTAAAGCTAACACTAACCTACCGGTAATTCTTGATTTCAACCTTGTGCCATACACCAAACCTCCATGTATTAAACCCTAATTCTAATCCTTTACAAGAAAACTAACCTTAAACCCAATTGCAACGAAGAAAAAAAAGCCTAAAGCAATTATCGCCGGAGAATATTTCAAAGCATCCCCTGAACAATTTGTAGGGCAAATGAAGAAGATGGGCAAACTTGGATAGCATTGTCAGGACAGTGCTCAGTACAGTTCTAGAGGGAGCGTTTGAACCCTCCCATCATGTTGGAAGGAATTCTTTTCTGCTTGACGCGGCTAAAGTTCATGTCTGGAAACTGTTTCACCTTGAGCTCCATGGTGTATTGTATTTCAGGTTTCACCATACTCTCGCACAGTCTGTTCCCCTTGGCCTCGGGCCGTAAGACAAAGGCATTGATGTTGACGCCCGGAGGCTGCCAGACCTTATAATCCCCCTTTTCCCTGGGGGCAGTATTTGTTGAAATGCAATGGTCAAACAACGACTTGGTTTTCTTCTCGAGCTCCGCTTTGTCCCGCTCCATCCGCTCGTGACCGTACCTTTCAATTTTTTCCCAGAGAGTTTTATTAAAGTAGTTATACAGGAGCATATCCCCGGAGTTCCATGATTGGATTTTTGTGTGCATGTCACCGTTGACAGACTGCACTGAATCCACGTTTCTGGCATTTTGTCTAAAGACTGTGACGTCTTCCATCTTCCAACACAAAAGTTCTTTCATTAGGATCAACGACTCATCAAAATACTCTGCGATCATGACTAAATCAAACTGTTCATTGATCATGGATATTGCACGATTGACGAACGTGAGATCATCAAATTGCGATTGCGGGACACCAAAGTCATACAGCATTCCATTCCGCGAGTGCACCTTGGTGGGGAAGTCATTGTAGAACTTGTTAGGGTTGTCCATGAAGATTTTCATGGCGTCCTTCTGGCCACCCATCTTCATCCGCATGTCGAGCTTGAAGTAGGTGAAGGCGCTCTCAAAGACCTTGACAGGGTCGCGAAGGATGCTGATGTAGACAGAATTTGGTGGCATGACCTCTCTGACCTCGTTGCTGAAGCGCGAGTGATGACAGTAGATGTTGTAGACACCATTCTTGACTTTGAGCATGTGCTTCTTCTCGAAGAAACTCGGGTAACCAAGGTGATGTCCTTGCACAGGAAGTACAAAGCTCAAAGAGTTCTTATCGCCATAGCGGAGAAATATATTCTGTACCGTGCTGCTCCCAGTCTTGTGGACCTTCAGGAAGGTGACGTTCGTCCTCGGAGTGCACTTGTCTGCGGTTAAACCGACCTGTGGCGCCACGTGCCGAGCTCCTCCGTTGTTGCGATTCCAATCAAACCTCGCTACGGGATCGACAGCAGGAGCAGGTGGCTTTTTGACTTTCAACTTTCCCTTTGAATCTGTCTTTGCGCCAACCTTCGTCTTCTCCACCTTCAGAGGGCTTTCATCTAGAACAGTGTCTGGTCTTGGTAGCGTATCACCTGCATCGGCATCGGCCTTCTTGGGATCCTTGTCTCCTTCCAGCGAGGCCAGGTTGCTCTCTTCGTCACCACCGACATCTTCCTTCTCTGGGTTGTCCAGTCCGGCTTCTTCTTCCCAGCCATTGTTGTCCATCAGGTCATTGCCTTGTCTTCGCTGATAGATGTGGTCCTGTCTCCCATCGTCCACATGGGCTTGTTTCCTGGAGAGAAAAGAAAGTGAAAAATGGACAGGAACATGAGAATGGGAAAGATTTAAAACTTTATTTATTCATGACCTCTTTTATGTACAACAAGATAACCTACCAAAGACCTACTCGAAAATACTGACCCAACAGTTGTCTAGATTTTTTTACCCTGCTACACAGCCTTGCCAAAAGCTACCCGAGGCAGGTTTTGAATGTGGATTCCTCGTTGTAGATGTACATGTTAGCAGTGCCACACAAGACTATAATTCTCCCTGTATACGCTGGATAGTCTGCAGTTACAGGCTCTGTTTGACAGTTCTGTTTGTTTAACAATTCCATAAAGTTTTGAGCCTTCTCAAACTTGTCAGTCTCTAGCTATGTAAAATAGGAACATATTATGTAAAGGGCCTACATGTACATTATCAAACAGGACGCAGTCTACAATCTCACAGTTCTGAGCCTGTATTTAATAGGAGTTATATTTTTTAAGAGTCTGTGCGTGGAGACTACATGCTGCATCAAATCCAAACCATATCTCAGGGCGGCTTGAGACTACATCAGAAGGTGGGCCAAGACAGATTCTCTGGTAAAAAGCAATCTTGGGTAGGTTTGGAGCATTTACACCAAAATAAAAGGGTACCCAAAACCAGTCTCCCGGCACCCCAGAGATAAGTTTGGCAGTTGGTGTACTAAACAAAGCTGCAAATCCACAATCTACAATGTATGTGGGTAAACAATGCAATTCACTTCAAATAGATTTATTTCCAACACTCAATCAAAACTTGAAAGAATGCTTACACAAAATTAATATCAAATGACATACTGTATGCAATATATCATACAAAATAAAACATATTAGTAATTGTACAGTAGGCTTACGGTTACACCATGTGAGAAAGGGGGGGGGGGGAGGATTTAGGGAGTCCTAAAAAGGACTGTCGGTAATCTTTCTTTCTTTAGTGTTAGGTTGCTACTTACAAGCACTTGCATGCTTTCTCAGCAGTCAGGTAAAACAAACCAACCCATGATAATGATATTGAACAGGTTTTCTTTTGTCAAACCCAAGGGTACAGTGTACATGTATTTTATATCGCAGTTGCTTTGAGAATATTTCAATCGTTGTAGCTGGAGCGATATGTACATGTACCCTGTATTTGACTCAACATGTACATGTAGACCTAAAGCTGTAAAAAAAGTGCAATGCCAAGAAGCAGAAATCAATGAAATACAATATCACAAAAAATTGTTGCTTGCAACTGAATGCACATACAAACAAAGCCATGCAAATATACTTTTATCCAACTAACGATTATATGACATTCTGACGCCTACAATTTCCCGTTTAAGTCAACTTCAAAATCAAATTTGAAACATGATTCACATCTGTTGTCGAATTCGTTACAAGTTCATAACAAGGTTAATGCAGTTCGGTTCAGTTTATTTTATTTTATTTTTGCATGGCACCAACTTCAGTCAATGGCTGTTCTTCTGCAGGTTTGTGCACAATTAAAAAAATACTATTAGATAACACAATTCATAACATACATTTATTTAAAAAAAACTTAAGTATAGAAAGAAAAATGAAAAGGTACATGTACATGTACTTACCAAGATACTACCATCCCCTTTGCAGAATTTTGCGCATGCCCCCCCCCCCCCCCCCCCCCCGCTCCCCCTTAACTTCAATTGGCTTTAAAACTGAAGTGCACAACAAGAAAAAAGTCCCTAAAGTCAACTGAGCAATTTTTGAGAACTGCGCCCCTCCATTAAAAATAATGTCGTCCATGTCCTTCCCTCCCCCCCCCCCCTTCCTTGAAATGCAATTTGGCATAACTGAAACGAAACCAACATGCAAGCCCAATAAATAACTTAAAGGTATTACAAAGTTTTGGTATGAGGCCATGAGTTTAGTTCAAATGAACATATTGGAAACATATTTAACCCTACAATATTCAGTGATCGTTGCCGCAATGTTTTTTTAATACCGCATTGTTATCCAGTATACATGTACACCTCTTTCGCTTTACACAGATTCTAGACTATACAATGTTTCTTATTTTCTTTGTAAACACGAGTTACATATGAATTTCCCCTAGTCTGAATACACTAATACCCAGTCACTTGTTCTGACTTTCTTGTTAAACCACATCTTGGACAAATCAAATTGATCCTTTGACATTGGAAAGTGCCTGCTCTGTTTTTGATACAAATTCACCCCTGATTTTGAATTCTCCTCCTTTCTCTATTTAGGCCTAGTCTACAAGCAAAGACTCTAATTTGACACTTTACCACAATTCCTATAGCCTTGAGCGGAGCCTAGCTCTGACAGTCCCTGGCTGTATCCGGAGCAGCTAAAGTACAGAGCATGTATGCAGTATGCTATCAGGTTAGTCTCAAAAGGCAGACACTGTTAATACGCACAGCGACTGACAAGGGTCTGTGCATGCAAAACTAATTTAGGCCTATGAATATGATCCCTTATGAAATCTATACTACATGTATACAATGTACATGTGTCATGTACATGTGAAGTAAATATTTAAGAAGGAAGGCATGTAAAAGTTCATGTACATAATTGTATTATATATCAAGATAATAAAGAACGCACAGCTTGGACAAATATTTTCATAGCATCACTTTTCATGTCGCATAAAGACATAAATGTTTGAACAAGTGAGAGGTAAAAAATATATCTTCAATGATTAAAAGAGGCTGGACGTCACTCACAATTTCATTATATAAAATTAAAAGTAGTCAACCTGACAATAATTATTCTTATTAGGAGTATCGTGTTCTAGGGAATACGTCGTCGGATCACATGGTTTGTGGTTTGAGTCCCAGTGCTGCACTAATTTCCCTTTGGCAAGACATTAATCTACATTTACCACTATACATGTACATGTACACACATCGAACGTTTTATTTCATTTTCTAAAGCCTTCATATAGAGGACATACGCTGAATGTTGTCCTACATTAACATGTGCAGTACACTGCCTTCCTCAGGTAATGATGAGAGAATACTGGTATTTATCGTGGAGAAACAAAACAACCAAACAAACAACAACAACAAGAATGCACCATGCAAATATTCCAATTTATGGATGTGGGACCACATGTAGTGACAAGTTATTCCATTAACCTGTCATTAATTAATAAAGTATACAAGTACTCCAGATCCGGTCTGCATACATAAATATTACTTGTTGCTTTGTCGGGCAAGCTTTTTTTTAGGTTGTCCAGAACAACCTTAGTTTAAAAAAATATGCATACAATTTGAATGTGTTGGTAAACTGGTCTATTCATTTTCACTTGACCAACTCTTTCAAAATGATGTATGTGTACATGTGCACTGTATTTCCTAGGGGCCTTGGAGTGCACTTCACACCCCCTCTAGATTAAAACGTTGCTAGGAGGTCAAGTCTGCTCAAATAACAGCTTAAAGAATTGGGCTAATCCATTTTTATAGCCTTGGGTTATTTCCTTGGTCATCAGAAGAAACCCTCCGCCGGGAGACAGAAGGGCGTTAACATATAGCCTGTTCAGACTATGGGCAATTTATCTGAAACTTATAAAGAAACGTCTTAAAAAATAAACAATCATTTTATAGCGAAAGGAGTAGATGTACATGAATATACAATGTAGACTAGATTACTGCTGTAACATCACGGATATCTCCAATTCCGTTTAACCGCCTGTCAAAACCAGACGGTTTTCGGTTAAACGATTTATTAAAAAAAAAATTAAAAAAAAATAAATAAATAAAAAAAAAAAAAATAAAAATAAAAAAATTGTTTTTTGTTTTTTTTTTTTTTTTGTTTTTTGGGGTTTTTTTTTTGGCCGTGTGAAAAAGCAGGAAGGTGATTTAACTGAAGGCGCCGATTTGTGCTTTTGAACTAGTCACAAATAATAGTAACAATGTCGTTTTAGAATAATGTGTAAGATCATTAAAGTAAATTAAAAACAGTAGAGGACCTAGGATAGAACCTTGTGGTACACCATGTGTTAAACTTGGATGAATATATATTGAGATCTATTACAAAGATTACTTTCAAACCAAGATGACAGACAAATTGGAGTGTTGTTCTAGTTTCCAAGTGGTAAGTCATCATACCGATTACTGAGCTGGGAGACATTGCCAGGCATAGTGCCAGGTGGAGGAGCATAAATCGAAACTTAAAAAAAACAAAAAAAAAACAAAAAAAATTATATAAAAAAAAACAACAAAAAAAAAAACGGGGAAAACGAAACCGTCCAATTGAAAACGGAATCCGCCATGGGCGGTCGGATACCGGACGGTTAAACGTTTGACTACAGCACTAGACTAGATTACATCAAAGAAATGTTTTGCGTGTACAGTACATTGTACATTGGTTTCAAAGAGGACAGTTGACATGACAGCTGGCAAATCATGAGTGCGCCGTCACACTTAGCCCCACCCAGTTATGCGATTTCAATTTGATACACTGTTCAGACTCGAACAGGAGGCTAATTCTTTTTTGAGTTTTCGTTTACCGTAATTTCTTTAATTTGATTATTCTGATTATTACAATTCAATTGAAATGATGCTCAAACGTTTCATTATTTCATAACGCTTCGTTATATGACGTTTCTTACAACGTTCCCACTATAAACTTGTAATAACTTAAATCGTACATGTACTGTAGCTATACAATAACTTTTGGTAGTCTGAACGTGCCAGGGTAAGACTATTTAATGTAATAAAACGCCCTTCTGCCTCTAAACTGATTAAGACATTACATGTAGCCCTGACCACTTGTTCAACTATCTGCACAAGGAATTCACCTCTCAAATCAAATCATTTCAGGCAGTGACATAATATGTATATAAAACGTGTGAGTCACAAAAAAGTTAACACCTACATGTACATGTACAGTGTACAGTGTAGAAAATTGCTAATCATTTTAAAAATCATGTATGACAGTAAATTATTATACATCTAATGATAGAGCGTTTTTTCCCAACTCATTTGGTATCATTTTGCGTGCTATGCGT